ACTTTATTTCCTCCAACTTGAACCCTCTAAAAAGGAAACGGTATCTGACGGTAACGGGTATTCATACCCAATGAGCTTGAAAGAGCTCTTCCTTTTCACAGTTTTTGTCATTTTGTGACTCAAGTAGTGCCTGTATAATAGGCGTGCTTTGTTCCTTCGAGGCCCCTATCTAACCCAATCCGATTATGTTAAATAAATAAATGATTGAATAAATAAATAGGCGAATAAACTATTACAAAGCATAAAGTGGCGGTAACGACTTGTGATTGAAATACCGTAGTCATTTGAACAGTCTCGAGAGACAGTGACTCGCCCGTGTTGGCTACAACCTTTGGTAGGAACTACCTTAATCATATACTGGTCTGTAAGACAGTTTAATGGAGCAAAACAACGTAGGCTGGCCCTGAGCGCAGCCAGTCCATCATGAGGAATATTGCAAGCGTTATCTACTGAAGTTAACTTTCCAACAAGTGCTTCCTATCACCCAGAAATTGCTTAGCATATTCACTTCACTTATTTCTTTCATACCCATGGTGAACAGACAAGAGGCAAACGGGGAGTTCACTTTGCCGGCCTATAAGGAGGAGGTGTTGCTGGCAATTCCATCCTCAATAGGCTAGGCTTTCCTACTACATATGCTGAGCAGTATTTGCAAAACCGCTTCCTGAATTCTATCGTAACCCTTGTTGATTGACCATAATCAGCCAAGGTTACGGTAAAGTTGTGGGTCAGCAGAATTTTGACGGTAGCATAAATAACAGTTCTTCAAACACCCACAGTTTTCTTGCAATTGTGGTATTTCTCTGTGCCATACTGTAACGCTACCGTAATCCCTACCGACATGACGTCATTTCCAGCGCACATTCCCGTGAAAAATTTCTGTCGGATTTGCGCAAAGCACGTGAGATCACCGATGTGAACGAGACGAATGATTTTTTGGACAAGATGCGTTGTCGCCTTGACAATCCGGACGTGTTGTCCGTCGATACCGTACACCAGCTGATGATCTCGTACAGGTGAACTCGTCCAAAGACCTTAGTCAATAGAGGCGGAACTTGCTTAGATGTACAAAACATTGGAATTAACCATTATTTTTAGAGATAATCAGAACTACAACGGGATGATTAGCCTTGTTGAAGATCTCAGCCGTATTGAAGACTGTACATTGATTGATACGCAAGTGATACGGTATCAGTACGCATTTGCACTGGCCAGGTAAGCGCGATTTATTGATTTTTGATCGATTTTTTACCTGAGGAACAGCGAATGGACATTCGTATAACTTCGTTGAATTTCTTGTTCCCTAGTAATCAATTCACCTTTGCTTGTGCTAATCGATTATCGATCGTGGGTTTACCTTATCAGACTACGAGTGAAATTATTGGATTTGTGACCTTGAGAGGATGACTAGTTGAACAGAAGGATTCGAGCAAAACGCACTAGCAACACCAGCATATGTTTATTGATCGATAAATCGATAATGGCAACTAATTTTCTTATAGGCGTAATAAAGAAGGCGATCGTGAGCGCTCATTGGCACCGTCTTGAATATCATCGAATCGACGGCCGACAAAGAAGCACTGAGTCCGGACGTGATTTGGTTTAGCAGGTTGAGGGCTGTTTACTTGGGTATTGGCCCTCATTACTTACCGCCTGGCAACCAAAAATACCACGGTGTTTCGCCCTAATAGTTTGTCCTAAACAGGGTGCTAGCGCCTCACAACCGCCTTATTTTGGCGAGTTGTCCCAAGCAGGCGTTGTTAAGTCCACTCATTGATATTTTCTAGTTCATTCAGGTGTGCTCACAGCCGTGCTACTCTAAGCAGGCCTACCACCGAGACGTACCGATTTTTTTTGGTTGAACAAAAAAAGCTTCGGGGCTGGCGGACGGATAGTCCCCTATTGCTGGTAGGTGGGAAGAACTTTACAAGTCTACTACCGGAACCAGCTACCGGCCGAAGTCGACGTTTCTAAGCTCACACCTAAGGAGTGATGGTATCACTTTTTGGAACCACCACTGTTGGATCACGCTCCGCCCCATTCCCTCCCCCCGAGTTATTTGATGAAGTATTGGCATATATCACCTACTGAACTATCATTGACCTTTTCAACATAAAAAAAAACACCTCCTCTCCTACTCTCCCCTTCCCTCCCCACATTTGATAGAAAACTTGACCAAAGCGAAGGACGATCTTGCGATACGCGGGAAACTCCGTCCGGACCGCGGTTGGGTTCACCAGAAAAGAACATAGTATCTTTTTTTCTTGGGAGTGCGAGCTTTTTCATCCTTGTTCCCATGGCACGCGTCGCATCACATTTGTTCCCTTTCCATTCATTTGGCAGTATCAGCATAGATGAAATGAATGATCGCGCCTTTAGGTCTGAGGGGCGAGATATGATTTAGTACTTAGCGATAATATTCGATTCGGGTATTCAGGACGCAATCTATAAAGACAAATTCATTGCCAGTAACTATGAGGACCGTGAATCGCTCAACAATGCGGTGTCGTGGTGAGTCATCTATAAGGCCGATGTCAGACTTTGCGAATCGCGCGATTCGCTACTAGCGATTCGCGCGATTCGCTAGCGTCCGCGGTCGCGTTGCGGTACCAGCCAATTGAGTGATTCACTGGCCGCGACGCGACCGCAGACGCTAGCGAATCGCGCGATTCGCAAAGTCTGACATCGGCCTAATGAGTAGAGCAGGGGTACGAGGGAGCCACGACCGTAGACCGTCTCGGTTTTGTTGGTGATGCTCAAAATATTTAATTTTTTTTTGTTAAATGAGACTGACGATGACTAAATTTGTCGTTCACTAAAGGAACAAGAGCGCTTCGAAATAGCGAACTTTTTTCATGATCATTGCTCTTCTAAATCCTTTCTCGCATTTTTTTCGTGGTGATCGGTTTTATTTTCCTTGCCAACAGTCATTATTACTAAAGTATTTGATGAGTAAAACAAATGCTCAGGCGAGGCAACGTAGACGGTGGGAGTGTACCAGCATCGCTTTCCTGTAACCCTATTGCGAGGCCCTCAAACTTCTCACTCCTGGTGCTGTAGTAGCAAATAATACTACCGATCAATTATCGATTTTTAGGTATCGTAAGGCGTTCGAGATGTCGCCGTTGGAACATAGTGGCATCAACCTCACCACATTGTTACGAGCCAGTGGAGAACACTTTGAAAGCAATGCAGAAATGCAGCAAATCGGTACGTTGACTCATCTTGGACGGCTTCAATCAATAATTGATTTCTTTCTCACAACGAACTTTTCCCATCAGTAACTGTGATATCTGTCGTTTGAGTCAAATTTCGAATCTCTCCCGGTTAGGGCCATTAGGTTCCGCCCAAGTCTTGGGCATGGGAGCGTTCCCGACCGTTCCGATTTCCGACTTTTGGGCTTTTCGATTAGACTTACTCTTTGGAAAAATTCAAGTGATACCAAGTCTTGGTGTAGTACTTCGCCGAGACCTTGGGAGAATGAATTGCCGATTGGAACCTATATAAGAACTCAATCGATATTGTCGATTATCGATTTTTCGGTTTATTATCCTTTGTTTTGTAATGTTTGAACCCTCAGTCAAAATTTCGATCACTTTATTTCAGCTGTCGTTCTAAACTCGCTGCTTGGACGAAAAGGCGCTTTACATCAGCTTCACCGACTACTGGGACGTCGCCACATATTTCGAGGTACATAACTCACAGTTTGGTGTCCTTTATTGACTTATTTGCTAAGTTTTCGTGGTGCTAAAAATCCTTCAAATGGGAGGGGGGAGGGGAGGGGTGGAGGGGTGCTACGTTCACAAAGCGGTGGTCGAAGCTAAGAAAAGTCTGGAGTTTTTGTAGAATTTCTGTCTTTTTCCCAAATTACTGTG